TTTTTCTGAAAGCTCCATTCGGCGTTATGAAAGGTTTCGCCGATCAGCGTCTCAGCCGCTGCCTAATGGCTCTGCGAAGTACTGCAGCGCCTCGGTCGGAGAAGGCTCTTTAAACTGAGGTGTCCCTGTAACGAGGGCCAACTTAAGTGACGTTTGAGAATTGGTTCGCCCTTCACACAGGGCAGATGACGCAGCCAGACAACGTGGGGCAGCGATGCGCAATAGAGGCGCTGCTGATGCTCTTCTGGGGGACCTTCGCTCTCTCTCTCTCTCTCTCTCTCTCTCTCTCTCTCTCTCTCTCTCTCTCTCTCTCTCTCTCTCTCTCTCTCTCTCTCTCTCTCTCTCTTTCTAATCTTTACTTTTCTTCCTCCCTTCCTTCCTTCCTGCCTTTCCATCTCTCCTATCCTTCCTCCCTCATTTCTTCCACCTCTCGTATGCTTTCTCTGTCTCTCACTTTACCTTCTCTCAACGCGGTATGCTTTGTAAACGACAGAAAAAACAATTAGAGATTAAATGATCTTGGATATCCAAAGATAAGGACCGATAACATATTTTTTTTAAAAATAGAGGATGAAGAGTTGGAAAAATCGAGACAAAGAATGAAAAGAATAGAAGACAAAAGAACAAGGAATAAAAGAGAGAGAGAAGGAGGGAGGGGAAGCGGAGGCCGAGAGACGCAGGGAAGAGGGAGGGAGACGTCGGTCTTCCATTGAACTGACCAAGAAGGAAGTCGTCTCCTCAAGCGAGCGGATTCTGCAATGCCAGAGGATGCAGCCAGTCTCTCTCTCTCTCTCTCTCTCTCTCTCTCTCTCTCTCTCTCTCTCTCTCTCTCTCTCTCTCTCTCTCTCTATCTATTATCTATACTATCTTTATCTCTTCTTCTCTTCTCTCTCTCTCTCTCTCTCTCTCTCTCTCTCTCTCTCTCTCTCTCTCTCTCTCTCTCTCTCTCTCTATCTATCTATCTATCTACTATCTTTATCTCTTTCTTCTCCTTCTTCTTCTTCTCCTCCTCCTCATTCTTCTTCTTCATCATCTTCTTCTCCTTCTTCCTCCTCTGTTCCTCCTTCCCTCTCTCCCTTCCTCTATCTCCCTCTTCCTCTCTCCCTCCCTCCTCATAATTTCCTTCATTTTCTCCTCATCTCGTGATGCATTCTCGACTGGCGCTTCTTCCTCTTCGCCGCTGATTCAAGGTCTTCTTCCTCTTCTTCCTCTTCGCCGCTGATTCGCCAGACCCGAGCATCCCGGTCAAGAAACAGCCAGATTTCTGACTTTTCTGTCATAGAAGGGGATTGGTTGGGGATTAGGCAAGTTGAGAGGGAAATCTGATGTTCCTGTTGTTAAAAGGCAGGCCCGATTTTCATTGTTTTAGGTATGGGTTTGGAAGTTTAATGGATTCTTGGGTATGGCTTTATCTTTTCGAGTTTAATTTGGATGCATAAAGTGAGTAAAGGTTTTGTTTATCACACACACACACACACACACACTCACTCACTCACTCACTCACTCACTCACTCACTCACTCTCTCTCTCTCTCTCTCTCTCTCTCTCTCTCTCTCTCTCTCTCTCTCTCTCTCTCTCTCTCTCTCTCTCTCTCTCTCTCTCACTTTGGTTTAAGAATAATTTAAAAAGAATCCATTCAATTGCGTATACAGTTTGTACTCTTCCTCTTTCTAAGTAAGCGAATTCACATGGGTGTAACATACTCGCTCATTCATAAGCGCCAGCGAGTAACGGGCTCCGGGAACGGGTTCGGCCAAAACTATTAGCTTAAACTAGCGCGGAGGGCAATTCGTCAATAGAGTGGGATTCGCTAACGACCCAAAATGCGCCAACGACCCATTCGCTGAGTCACGAGTGTAAATGGAGTGTGTATGGAGGGGGAGAGTGTGTGTGGGGGTGGGGGGGTGGAGTAAGATTGAGTAAGAATGTGTGGCTGTGAATGTGTCGGTATGAGTGTGTTGTATATTTCGTGTGTGAGGAAAGAGTAAGTGAATGGGATTACGTGAGGACGAAGGGAGTGCATGTATATCTTCACGCGCCTATACCATAAGGGCGTGGCAACGGTTCCTGCAGCGCCGCCCTCCCGCCTCCCCCGGTTCACACGACGAAACCGGAGGCCCCGACGCCCACCAGACCCGCCCGAAATCGCCACGGCAGGAAATACCTCCAACAACTAGCCATTTTCTAGGCGAGGGACCCAGCGAATAGAGAGAGAACAGACGCACTCACATAAATCCTAGTGATATACAACAACCGCTGAAAGGATGCTTGCATTTAACCAACCAATGTAGCTAGTTATGCCCAGAGTGGAGGGCGCAGTGAGGGAGGGAGAGGGAGAGAGGGCGAGGAGGAGAGAGGGAGAGAGGGACGGAGGGAGAGGGAGAGAGGGCGAGGAGGAGAGAGGGAGAGAGGAGAGAGGAGAGGAGAGAGGGAGAGAAGGGGAAGAGGAGAGAGGGAGAGAAGGGGAAGAGGAGAGAGGGAGAGAGGGACGGAGGGAGAGAGAGAGGGAGAGAGGCAATTTAGCAGATAATGACTTCGGGAGATTCTTAGAATGCCTCGTTATCTGTCTTATCTCCTGTTTATTTGGTGGTCGAAACGCGCACGTATTGATCCCAGATAAGGGAATCACATCGCCAAAGGATCATTATTGTCGAATTGATGACCTAAGCTCAGTCTTTTTAATTGGAACCGTCTCGTAAGTGAAATTCAGTGAAATGTGATTAATTACATTGGCTAATTACATTAATTACATTCCCACTCCCATTTCTGCCTTTTTCAGAAATTAAGAAAAGGGATGGAGAGAAAGGACCCAAAAGAAATATTTAAGGAGAGGAATAGGGACAGAGGAGGCAACAAAAATGATGGAATAAGGGGAAGAAAAGATAACAAAGGGTAGAAAATGCTGAAAGTGAGAACATTTAAAATAATAATGATAGTAATAATAATAACAATGATTAAGGAGGGAAAAGGGGATGATAAAATAATTCAGAACAGGAGGACAGAAAAAATATTAACAGGAACAAATATTGTAAAAGATAGATTAAAAAATAATTAAAGATAGAAAAAGAGCAAGATAGGATAGATTAAAAAATGACTAAGGACAGAAAAAGAAGAAGAGCAATGAAGAACAAGAAAAGAACAGAGAAAATAATTAATGATAGAGACAAGAAAACATACGCAGGCTGAGAAGTGACGAGAGTATATCGGTAATATATCGGCGGACCTTTTCCCGAATGCCACGTGTGTTCCCTTAGCGTACGTGGCCTTAGGAAACCCGACACCTCTGAAGTTGGAAATAGGCTACAGCAGCCCTCGACTATACCCAGTCCCCTTTTTTTTTCGCCAAAGTCCCTTCAGAAGAAAGTCGGAGCTGAGGTAAGTATAGTATTTTGGGTGAACTACCTCGTTCGATATTTTTTTTTCTTCGTTTTTTTAGAATAGGCGTTAGATGTAATGGGAATAAGGGTTAGTTTGAAAATAAAGAGGGAGGGAGGGAAGGGGAGAGAGAGAGAGAGAGAGAGAGAGAGAGAGAGAGAGAGAGAGAGAGAGAGAGAGAGAGAGAGAGAGAGAGAGAGAGAGAGAGGGGGGGGGGGGGAGACATTGGAAAATAAATTCTGCCAGAGGACATTCCCGAGGTCCCGAGAGCAATGTTGCCAAGGTCTTGCGGGGGAAAAGACCTCTGGCAAGACGTTTCGAGTGCCACCGCTGGATAATTCGGACTTTTTTTTCTTTTCTTTTCTTTTCTTTTTTGCCAAGCTTGAGGTCGAGAGCCTGGGGTGTGAAGGAAGGGCCGACGGGGAGTGTCTGTGAGCCTGAAGAGCTTTCTGTTGAATCGGCAAAGTGGCTTACACATTAGCCACGTCCACAGAAAGCATGCCGTAGAGGAAAATTTCTGGCAACATGGCTTGGGAAGACTAAATGCGCGCACACGAGTCTCCATTGATGAGACTATCTGGCCGCTTGTATTAAAGAAACATCACTCTCTCTCTCTCTTTCTCTTTCTCTCGCTCTCAAAGGCTGCGGTATCCTATAACCTCGGCCGGAGTTTTCATTAGGCGTGACTGTAGGGCGATACGTTAAATTGTTTGAGGAAGTTCTATGACACATATGACTTACACAGTTAGTAGAGGAGACGTCAGTAGCAAGTAAAAAGTGCTGCAGCGCGGTATGTTCCGTCTGCGCTGGGTTGATGACGTCACACTGTCTAGACGGCCGACCGCCCTAGGCATCGGCTGCCAAAGTTTCTCGTCTTCCTTAATTACTAACGCTGCAACTATCATTCTATCGGCTTTTTTGTTTAGTTCATCAAATTGATATGTTTTGTTAGTGTGTTTGCAAGAAAGTTAAACGATATCATTTATCGCGCGTTCGAGAGAAAATAAACTAAACCGAACCCTAAAATTTGGGTCGAGATATCTTCCTGCGGCAAACGGTGCTGCCATCGCCGTGGTCTTTAAATATTATATGTCTTCTGTGACTTTTCCTATCTGCTAATGGGTTTTGGGGAGCACCTACACGCCGTGCATTCATGGAGTATTATTAGAGTTTTAGAAATAATCTTTTAGTCAGAGCGTTAGCTTGTTGCAAAATTGTTGCTGGTGATAAAATGAGGATGTGGCAACTCTAGCACGCCGCTGCGGTTTCATACCCAGTATTAGGGTGATGCCATATCTTCTCTCCTTTTCTATAATAACTCTTTTCTTGGTCAAAGCTGGGAGTGGCCTGGTGTTTCATTAATATAATCTGGACTCTTGTGATAATGAGATCCACCAACTTTCTAAATATTTCTTAGTTTTTTGTCGCTCGATGAATGGCCGGCCGACATGTCTTGGAGTTTTCCCACACATGTGAGAGACGTCCACGCTCCCATTTTGAGCATGTAATGATTTTTCCTTTGAAGTAACGCCTATCTTTACGATAGAAATTGTAACCTCTTTTTTTCGCTTTAAAAAGACAGCAAATTCAGGAAGTTCTAACCTAGGATTTTCTTCTCTTTCCAGATCTCGACCTTGGCTGTCAGTGGCGAGTTGCCAGGTGCAAGATGCCGTCTGGTGGTAAAATATTTATCATCGCTTCCTCAACTCCGACGGGATATACGGTCAATTACAGATGCAGAGTTGATCTCCTAACAACAGTTGTTAGGCTGCCGTGCACGTGGGAGCCATGGCTGTTTCCAGAGCGCCGGAATAGCCATATTAAGAATCGAAATGTCCGAGCTAGGCGCTGTCTCGCTCCGTCGTGTGTCTCTTCCTCATTGGTCGAACCGCCTCGGATATTTTCTAGGACACCATTGATACGCGGTCGGTCCTTATTCGAAATGGGATGGATCCGCCGCTGTTTCTCGGGACGGCTTTTCGGCGGATCGAACTTCGGGCTGGGGGAGAGAGGGGAAGTTCGGGTTATCGGAGATTTTTTTTCTTTTTCTCTGAAATGGAGTTTTTTTTAGGTAGGAATTTGATAGTTTATTGTGTAATCAAGACAGGGAATTGTTGTTAGTAGTTTTGTGAAGGATATGGAGGAGGGATCAGTAGTATCCACGTGAGGAGGGAGAGAAAATGCCCATGGTACCTTTCCGAGCAGCAGGTCCAAAGGCAGGCTGTTACGGAACCCAAGGTTAGCCATTTTATCGCATCATTTTCGGAGAGCAATTTTCTTCGAGGAATTCGTAGTGGAAACGTGGATCGGCTCTTTTTTTATTGTATTTTCTGTCTCTGGGTGACGAGGACTCCGCGGGTCTTCTTGGAGGTAATATCAGGCAATTTATTCACTCAATTTCCTGTACAGCAACAATGAGGCTTTAGGTAAAACTATCATGCAGTTCACATGCTATCGGAAGTGACGTCACAGTGAGTGGGAATGAATGGATGGAACAGGATGGGGGCGTGGCTTAATATTTGTGCTTCATTCACGACCTTCTGCCAGTCCCTGTGTGACATCACGTTAATGGAATGTGCTAATCTACATTCATAACTTTAACGCTACTTCGGCCCTCAGGTCGTCTACGATTCGGTCCCAGCGAGAGAACCGGCCTTCGCACAGTTAGTTATTATGGGCTTTGTTTCCGAGGCGGATCTTGTGTGAGAGAAAGATGGGGTTTTTGTGCCGAACGGTGAGGGTGGGTGGTGGTGTTTGGGTGATGCAGTTTGCTTGGTGACGTCAAGACCGATGCAAGATGTGAATGGCCACACCGGTGCCGAGTGCGAAGCTTTGGAGTGCCCTCATTGGCGAAGAAACAATGACGTCACACTTTCGGGAAACTGCGATCAGAAACCGGCGCTTGTGATTGGTCGAGGAGCCACATTCCTGACGTGCCCGTGTGAGCCGCACCCGGACGCAAATATATGGAATGAAGGACGGAATACTGGCGGGGTTTCTCTCTCTCTCTCTCTCTCTCTCTCTCTCTCTCTCTCTCTCTCTCTCTCTCTCTCTCTCTCTCTCTCTCTCTCTCTCTCTCTCTCTCTCTCTTTATATCTGGGGGATTTTCGGGAGTTTTCTCTCGGCTTTTTATCTGCAGCGGTTGATCCCGACGAGTTTATTTGCGCCGCTTGAAAGACGACTCTGGCCTCCGTGGAAGCCTCATAGAAAACGCTTGTTGTCCTCTGCATTCCTCACTCATGACACCCGGACTCTCACAGCTGTGCGCAGATCGGCCACCCAGAATTCACTGAGTTTAGCAAATTCACAAATATTACTGGTCGCTAAACTATCGCTCGGTTGTTTACTGAATGGAACATTATGAATTCTTGAAAGATATCGTTTCAGGCAAAGTTTATCGCCAGAGAGACGGATTCAGGGGCGGGGCGCAGGGCTTCCACGTGTAACGAAATCAAGGTCGTAAATATGACTGATTCTCAAAACATCAGAAAGAATAAATACTGGGCAAGGTCTCCACGGCAAGAAACTTCAATAGATTGAATTAAGAGCGGGATCCTGGCAAAATGTCGCGAAAGTATCCACAATGAATTCTCCTTTTTGTGTAAAGCAATATGCTTGATATCGATGTTACTTGTGTTTTTATTAAGGATCATTTGGCTAAATATATTTTGAAAAGAAAGTGTTGGAACCAAACAAGATTAAATGGCATAAGCCCACGCAGTGCATCGCTGATTCGTCATTTCGACTGCATAGCTAATCAGGGTGTGCGTGAGAGAGAGAGAGAAGAGAAAAACAGACAAAGAGGAAGGACGGAGAGAGAGAGAGAGAGAGAAAGAATGACAAAGAGAAAGGGCGGAAAGGAAAGAGAGGAAAGGGGAAAAGGGGGTTGTTCAGCTGCGGGTTTGTTTTACGTCCGTCGGCCCCTGTCCTTTGTCAGGCGCTGTTGCATCCTTTGCCAGGCGTGGTTCGTGACGACCTTGGCGGCGGGTGTGGGGCATGTCCCTTTATGAGACGTGATTCATGGTCTTTGTGAGCTATGGTTCGTACGAATTCGCAGTTATATATCAAGTGTGTGATGAGGTGTGGTTCCCTTTATCGCTACGGTCCCTACGTGATCTGCCGGGCTGCGTTGGCTTCGGGGTTTGTGACGATTATGTTAATATCTTTATATGTTATGCCCTTGTTTGGGTGCAGGATTTAACGTCGTTAAAGCAACAAACGTGAGGAAGGGATGGAGGGGTGATGGGGGAGGGGGGGAATGGTTTCGTGACTTTGACAGTTATCGTGACGTTGGCAGCGACGTAGCATGCGGTTGTCGTACGTCAATGAATCATTGGTCCACGCCTCGACGCATTATCTCTCATTTTTACATTTTGTTTTTTCATCTCTCGTTACTCAAACACTCAAAATTCAATTAAAAAAAAGAAGAAAGAGAAAACTTAAAACCACGTGAGACATTTAGGGTGACAGGAGAGTATGGCTCGTGGAAAGTCGGCCAAGATCGGCGTGTGATTTTTTCGAAAACCAGCTTCAACTCCTGCTTTTTGGTCAGTATCCGGGAAGAGCCGAGTCCCGCGCCATATGGTAGCAGAGGCTCGGGCTGTGGATGATGGGGTTGTTTCTCCGCCGAGGTAGAGTTTGGCAGAAATGGAGACCGTGAGGTGTGTTTTGCTACTTTCTCCGGGTTGGGTTCCGGCGGTAGTTTATTATCATTATTATCAATTAGCGTTGTTGGACTTCTTGTTCTTGATCTAATCTCTCTCTCTCTCTCTCTCTCTCTCTCTCTCTCTCTCTCTCTCTCTCTCTCTCTCTCTCTCTCTCTCTCTCTCTCTCTCTCTCTCTCTCTCTCTTATGAGGCATCATTTTATCATTCGAGATGTTACCACAGACTCTGGACTCCGTCTTGAGAATCTTAACCTCTTGAGATTAGTGATGATTGTGAAATGTTATTCGAGGAAGCGAGACTGATGAAACACGAGTCATTGTTTAGTGCATCCGTCTCTCTCTCTCTCTCTCTCTCTCTCTCTCTCTCTCTCTCTCTCTCTCTCTCTCTCTCTCTCTCTCTCTCTCTCTCTCTCTCTCTTTCTTTCTTTCTTTCTTTCTTTCTCCCTCTCCCTCCTTCCCCCCTCCCCCTCTCCACTCTCTCCTCTCTCTCCCTCCCCCTTCCACTCCCTCCCTCCCTCCCTCTCCACCCCCTCCCCTCTCCACTCCCTCCCTCCCCCTCCCTGCCTCTCTCCTGCAAGAAATTACCATAATTGCAACACCAAGTCGAGTTTGTCTTTGCACGGAGGAACAGCTTTCTTCTTTAAGGAAACAGTCAATATCCACATTTTCTCTCATCGGATTTCATTTTGTTATTTTTTTCTCTTTTTCTTTCTCTTTCGTCGTCTTCGTCTTCGCCTTCTCTTGTTTTATGTTTCCTTCGTTTCTTGAGCTTCCTTTGCTTCTCTCGTTTCGTCCGGCTTTGGTTTTATTTGTTTATCTATTCGTTTATTTATTTGATTGTTTTATTGAATGATCTCACTCGAATGCTCTCTCTCTCTCTCTCTCTCTCTCTCTCTCTCTCTCTCTCTCTCTCTCTCTCTCTCTCTCTCTCTCTCTCTGCACTTTCTCTTCCTCCTCCGTTCTTGTCTATTTTACTATAAATAGTCATCTTCCTTCCTCCCCCCCCCCCCTCCCCCCTCCCCCTCCCCCTCCACTACCCTTCCACTTCCCTTCTACCCCCCCCCTCCCCCACCCCCCCACACATCCGCTGAAGGCAGGGTTACCAACGCCTGAAGGTGGGTCGGCTTTTCTCCGAACCGACAAGAAATGGTGTCTTGCTTTCTCTCTCTCTCCTTCATTCTCTTGTATTCATCACTCAGTTGCTTCTCATTCCCTTCTTTTATCACTCAATTGTCTATCACTTAGAGGAGAATCGTAAAAGGATGAAATAACCATAATTATATTGTATTATCATTGTTATGATTTTTTTTATTTTTTTTATTATAGTTATTATTATCATCTGCTCTTACTGTTTAATAATGATTAATTTCTCGCATTAATTTCAGTTTCTAATTATTTTATCATATCACTTGCTTTTGTGGCTACCGCTAACCTTTCCATTTCTTATGAACTTGTTTATTAACTTCTTTTTTCCTTTCGTCTGCTCCGTATAAGTCCACTTAGGTAGGACACGTATCACACTGAGCTCAGTGGTGTTAGAACGTTTCCTGTGATAAGAGAGATAGAGAGGAGGGGAGAGGAGGAGAAGGGGGAAGGGAGAGGAGGAGAAGGAGGGGGAGGGGAGGGGTGGTTGGGTAGGGATGGAGGGCGAGGGGGGAGACGGGTAAGGGGTGAGGGGGATAGGGGTGTAGATTGCAACATATCCTGTGGAATTCTTTATCTCGTCTCCTACTTCGAATTGTTTATCTGGTCTCGTAGCAGGAAAGGGCGAGGGGACCTTACTTTCACTGTGCTTTGTCTCTATCTGTATGTCTCTCTCTCTCTCTCTCTCTCTCTCTCTCTCTCTCTCTCTCTCTCTCTCTCTCTCTCTCTCTCTCTCTCTCTCTCTCTCTCTCTCTCTCTTTTTTTTTATCTTATCACTCACAGGAAATTAGTAATTTGTGTAGGTGATTATCGTGCTTTATCAACCGGGACAATATGTTGTTTTTTATATGTCATGTCGAAATTTCTTCCCTTCCTCTCCGTATTGTAACGTCTTGTTTTTAAAATCCGTTTCAGATGGAATTGAACGTTTTGTTTCTAAATTCTTAATGGCCATTCGGTTCGAATCTTATTTTTCCTTCCGTTCGTTGACAAGGAGTCTACTTCGTTGTTGACTCTCTCTCTCCTCCTCTCTCTCTCTCTCTCTCTCTCTCTCTCTCTCTCTCTCTCTCTCTCTCTCTCTCTCTCTCTCTCTCTCTCTCTCCTCTCACTCTCACTCTCACTCTCACTCTCACTCTCACTCACTCTCTCCCTCCCTTCTCCCTCCCTCTCCTCCCTCCCTCTCTCTCTCTCTCTCTCTCTCTCTCTCTCTCTCTCTCTCTCTCTCTCTCTCTCTCTCTCCTCTCTCTCTCTCTCTCTCTCCTCTCCCCTCCCTCCCTCCCTCCCTCCTCCCTCCCTCCCTCCCTCCCTCTCTCTCTCTCTCTCTCTCTCTCTCTCTCTCTCTCTCTCTCTCTCTCTCTCTCTCTCTCTCTCTCTCTCTCTCTCTCTCTCTCTCTCTCTCTCTCTCTCTCGGAGCCACAGCGACACCGGGGGAATCTTTGGCAGACAGTTTGCTACAAGTATAGATGATGGATAAAAGTTGCAAAGAGGCGCCCGTGGAGGATTAGGGATGCCAGCTGAGGCGTTTGAGAATGATTCGGATGATTGGGTATCATGTACAATCGCGGGGAACCAATCGTTTGGTGAATGGTTTGTCGGAGGGGGTTGGTTGGTAAACGATTGGGAGAGAGAGAGAAAGAGAGAGAGAGAGAGAGAGAGAGAGAAGAGAGAGAGAGAGAGAGAGATTCGGGAAGAGTCGCAGAGCCGGTCCTCGCCGTCGCCGAAGTGTTCCGCGATGGACTAACCTCGCGTCGTGTGTTGCGCTTCGTGGTCGTCTCTCGTTCCTTCCGTCAGCGGGGAGGAGAAAGAGACACGTTTCCGGGAACAATAAAAATCCAAAAACTAAAAATATTACGCGTCCAGACATTGGCAACGCTGTAAGTATGCGACTGCCAAAGAGTCATTGGAAAATCCCGCAAGAGCAGCGTTGCCACCGCCAGCCGCGCCGAACACCGAGGTGGCTGAAGGAAGCGCCAGTGAGTGTGTTCTTGGCGTCTCTCTCGCTCTGCATTGATAGAGAGGAATCACACACACACACACACACACACACACACACACACACACACACACACACACACACACACACACACACACACACACACACACACACACACACACACAACACACACAAGAGCAAACTCACGCAAACAAACCAGTACACAAACACCCCAGATCCCCCCCCCCCCCCCCCATCTGCCGAGGCGCCCTCAGAGCCTCGCCAAAAGCACACGCAAGCAGAACACGACTCGGAGGCACGGCAGCCGTAAGTCCCGTGGTCTCGAAGGCAATCATCTGTTCCGAGATTGTTTTAATTGAGGTTCATTACCCTCCATTGGCGGGTATTGGCTGTGTTTGTGGGGGAGTCAAGTGGAGACCCTCTTGCGTGCCTCCTTGCTTGTCTTCGGGCTTGCCTCTGCGGCTCCCTCTTGCTTGTCTTGTTTGCCATCGTCCTTGCTTTATTAGTGCCTTTCTTTGCTTCCTCGCGTGTCTTCTTGTTTATATCCTTAGTTGCCTCCTCGCTTGCCATCTTGATTACTTCCTTCCTTGCCTCCCTCCTTACCTCCTTGCTTGCCGTCTTGCTTTCCTTCCTTCCTTGCCTCCCTCCTTACCTCCTTGCTTCCGTCTTGCTTTCCTCCTTCCTGCCTCCTCCTACCTCCTTGCTTGCCTCCTTGCTTGCTCCTTTCTTGCCATCTTGCTTGTCTTGTCCGCGGGGTTGAGCTCCTCCTCGCACTCGCTCGCTCGGGCACCTGGACTAAATTTAGCGGCGCGGAGAAAGGCTGTCTCGCCGGCCCGACGGACGTTCACGCCGCGGCTTGTCTCGGCTCGCGGGGAGGGAGGGAGGGAGGGAGGAGGGTGGGAGGGAAGGAGGGAGGGAGGAAGGGAGAGGGACAAGAGGAGAGGAAGGAGGAGGGAGGGGGGGAGGAAGGAGGGAGGAGAGGAAGGACAAGGTGGGAGAGAAGGAGGAGAGGGGAGGAAGGGAGGAGAGGAAGGACAGGAGGGAGGAGGGACAAGGGGTGGGAGGAGGAGGGAGGAGAGGAGGCAAAGGACAAGGTTGGAAGAAGGAGGGAGGAGAGGAGGGACAGGGGTGGAAGGAGAGAGGGAGGAGAAGAAGGGGAGGAGGGACAAGGAAAGGATGGGGGAGGGGAGAGGAGGACAAAGGGAGGGAGGGAGAGGAGGGACAAGGGAGGGGGAAATCGGTATTTTCGAAGGTTGAGGTTAGGATTTGTTATAGTTCTAAGGCATGTTTGTTATTATTTGTGTTATGTTCTTTTCTGTGATTGATGTCATCACTCTTGTTAAAACACACACACACACACACACACACACACACACACACACACACACACACACACACCACACACACACACACACACACACACACACAACACACACACACACACAAACACAAACACACACAGCAAGAGACAGAAAAAAACAACATAGCTATTGTTTACCGAGAACTCCACCTCCGTAAACAGCGCACCCCTTTCTCTCCCCCTCCTACTCCCCCTCTCCCCCCTTCCCCCTCCCCCCCCCCATCATAGGGAACGAGTGCACCACATACGGTTGCCATAGGGTTGCCACACGTAGCCTCACCCTACGCCCACTCTCGCCCTGGCCGCCTACGTGTTATGTAAGGGCGTTTCTCCCCCCTTTCTTCACCCGGGGATAAAAATGGATTCGAGTGCAGCTTTTTTCTTCGTGGAGTTATAAGCCTGATTTTGGGTGTAGGCCTAAACTCGTGTGGCATAGAGGGTGGAAGACAAGAGACACAAAGGAAGATGGGAAGGAGGGGCTTAAGTGGAGAGGAAGAGAAGAAGAGGAAGAGGAGAAGGAGGAGAAGAAGAAGAAAGAAGAAGAAGAAGAGAAGGAGGAGGAGGAAGAAGAAGAAGAAGGAGGAGGAGAAGGGAGCGACAGGGAAGTAGTAGAGAGAGGAGCAAAGGAGGGGAAAGGCGAGAGGGAGGCCTAGGCTTAGGAGAAGAGGAAGCGCGGGTTCATAGCAGACAAAAGGGGGAGGGGAGGGAGGGCATAGGGTGAGGGGAAGGAGAAGTAGCGAGAGGGAGAGGAGGAGGGGGGGAGAGGTAGAGAGGGGAGAAGGTGGGAGGGGAGGGGGAAGGGGAAGAGGGGGGAGAGGTAGCCAGAGGAGGAGGAAGGAGGGGGGAGGGGAAGAGGGGGGAGAGGGGTGATCGAGTCTGAAGGAGGTG